CAGGGTTGGGATCAAACACACGACCTCCTGTATATCGGGCGAGGGAGATAACATCTTGCCACTGCGCGGCACCTCGTGATTCAAACTGAGTTGGAAGTTAACTTTGGTTGTCCTTGCACGATGTTTTATTGCTATGAACAGGGCCCCATTGTTTACATGGAATGGTCTTGTCAATAACATGTCAATACAACAGTGTTGGTTGAGCAAGTCTGTCTCTGCTGATGAGACCAAGAAGGTCGAAACTGGTCATTTGCATACTTTTTTTATGCTGTTGGCTAACATTGTCTCGAAGTCCCTGAAGAGACAGAGTCATGTTCATTTTATGGATAGAACGACAGCTGTTGGAATGTGGAATTTAAATCACTGGCTCAGGATCATCAACGGACATGTCATTCTACATTTGAAGTCATAATTTAGCGGTTGGATCATTTCTAGCCGCTTTGAAACATTCCCCAAGACCAAGCATGGGGAACCTTTTCCTTACCGAGGGTCCGAGTAGGACCTTTAATCACGTTTGGAGGGCTAAACATTAACACACACACAGCTCGTCGTTACCCAATAACGGGTAACGTCACAGTACGTGCACGTCAACCGAGTAATAAAAAAGGCCCTTGCAGCGACAAAAGTGACCGGGTATTACTAATTAAAAAAACATAGTTTTGCCAGGTCAAAAATACTCCCCTCCGAGGAGGCAGCCAGTGGCGGCTTAGAGCCTTGCAGCAGCGACGGCAAATCTCATTTGCGGGTTTGTTTCAAAGCGGGAGCCAGGGAGTGGCCCACCGTGTGCGTACGAAATGAAAGTTGTCAGGTCGCATCTTAGCTTCTTCCCCCACCCCCCTTGTCGTCAAGCAGGAGTTTGTGTTCTCCACCCATATTTTTTGGTTCTTTCGGTTAAAGTCACGTAGATAGAACAACATAAAAGTAAATAAAATAAAAACTACGTTTTGATCCTTATGACGATCGCTTGTGTTGTGATCGAAACGTCGTAGTTTTTATTTTATTTTCTATCTACGTGACTTTACCGAAAGAACCAACCAATATTAATTCCTGCACAGTCACGAAAGTTCTAAGTCTAAATTTCCCCACCCATCGTTTGGGGCGGGGTGCTCCAACCCAGGTGTGGTTCAAGGGAGCGGCATTCCAATGACGAATCGTGACGCGCACGGGCCAAGCGGAGGCCATCGGCGCTGCGCCAAGGGGCACGCTGCTTCCACGGTTGCCAACGAGAACGCGCGTCGAGACAAACTTGCGATCCTCCGGGGCCGAGTGCGTAATGTCAAAGAGGTCATTAGAGCCGAGGTTGCATTTGCGCAACAGTTTAATTTATTTTATTTTTTTCTACCTACGTGACTTTACCGAAAGAACCAAAGAGTATGGATCCCTTGCAGTCACGAAAACTTCTAATATAGATTTAACACGTAGGTCTTTCGCGACCAATATCTATCCATAAGAGTTTTTTTGGGGTTAGATCGCGTAAATATTTAAACGTGTCGTTAAAACCCGTCACCACCCGACACAGCCAACTCGTCAGGGTTGTCACGTAAACGGAACATGCCATGAAGCTAGTTGTAATTACTGGCGAAACGTCGTACTCAGATTGTAAATGTTGTGGCTTGGCTCTCCAACACACCGTTGTGCAGTACTAGTGACGAATTGGCCACGTTCTGTTTATGTGACAACCCTTACTAGTTGGCTGTGTCGGGTGGTGGCGGGTTTTAACGACACGTTTATATATTTACGCGATCTAACCAAAAAAAACGCTATTATGTATTAGCATAACAATACATATTTGCATACGTTGGGACTAAACGCTTGGTGTTTATTTTGTATGACATTGTATGTTTACGACAATTACTAAACTAAAACTTTAGTTTTTTTAATTTACCAGGTAAAGCCCACTGAGCTATACAGCTATTTAGCAGAAGCGACCTGGCCACAAATGATTGCTCAATGAAGTTGGCTCATGTGGATAATTATAGCAGCCAAATAATCTCAATGTGGAGGGAAACCCCGGAGGACCCGAAGAAAAATCCACGCGACCACGTAGGAGAGAGACACCGCAAACTCCAAATATACAGCAGCAGGCGTCAGGGTCGGGATCGAACCGACGACCTACTGCACACCAGGCGAGGTGGTTAACATCTCCTAGCCACCGTGATGATGATGATGATGAGAGAGATGTGAGACGGTGTGCCCAAGATACGTTACACGTCAATGGTTCTCAACTTGTTTTGGCTATACTGTACCCCTCGTTGAATTTTGTTTCAACCGAGTAGACCCTTGCCTGGCCCAACACTGGTTCTGAGAAATAAATGTATGAATGAACATCAATATTTTAACCAATTGTCCATTTTGTTAGGTACCCTATCTGGTAACTGTGAGCAGATAAAAAAAATTAAAAATTCAACGGACGCTCTGCAATGCACGGCGTAATTTGTTCAGCTCGCTGGTTACTCTTGGAAACCCACTTTGTTTACGATCAATGAGTTTAGAAATGCCTTTTATATCGTTAGAGGTTACCATACGGATTTAAATGTTATCGTAGTTATTTTATATTGGCAGACTCATACGCGATTATTCACCATTGACACTCACGTATGAAATAATTTCACGCATATTTATAAATAACCTCACGAACCCCCCAGTTGAGAACCACTACGTTGCGTGTGTGCGTCACGGGGCTCGGCAGATGATACAATCAGTTGTTGTACCCACAACTATGCTCCCACATCTATGCTCCCCAGTGACATAAACCCGCACTGGTGGTGGCTAAAATAACCCCTGCGACCCGCATGCCGTGAGGCAATAGATTGTCGAGAGGGCTGTACGATCACCACCCACACTCACTCTACTACACCGACTACCGGTGTGTACGTATGACTGGTAAAGGATGTTGTACTTCCAGACACGACTATTAATCTAAAAGTTCGTGTAAAGTTAATGGGTTGCCAATTTGCAGTTCCAACTTTGAAGCAAATACACTTTCCGCATTAGTTTGTTTTTCATTTTGCCGATGGCTCCAGTTCGCGTGACTTTGACCAAGGCTAGAAACATTCATCATGCCCCGTTGGGATTTGAGATTTTTGGGGAGGTGGGGGAATTGGGCTGGCTGGCAGCACAGCGCTTTCGCATTTCCATAAAAAATAACCCCGAACGCGAAGCGAAATTATGGTCAGTGGGGAACCCAGGACTCGTTCAAATATCACTCGAGGGGGTTCAATGTGCAGTGTACTAAGCCCATGGCATCACCACTCCCAACCTACAGTGCATCGTCCTGTTAAATTTCAATAACAATTTACTGCCTATACGGTTATCATCACTGAGAATGACAGCACAGTAAAACGTGAATTTAGTGCCGTCTGATTTTGGCAAAAGCAGGTCACGCTAAACAGACCCGTAAAACGACAGTATACTGACAAAAGCACAGCTGGAACTTCCATACATCACTAAGGTCAATACGTCGCGTTTTACAATAAACAGCGAAAGATACCTAACAAAGCAAACCTGGCCAAGTATATTGTATTCTTACTGGCATTTACATTAAACTTTAGCACTAAGTACTGTACGTCAAATATCCGACTGTCTTGACAATTATCCACCCACACCCAGGGCAGTATGCATTAGTGCTTGGGTCCACTTCTTTTACTATAGACGTTCACAAATCCAACTGTTTCCAATATCCGCCGACTCTACTCCCAATTCTCAGCGAGTCGGATATTCTATATTGTAACGCACTACACTGTTTTGCTCATACATATTTTGCAAGTTGCCATTAACGCAGAAAACACACTGTCAATAAACAATTAAAGTCTCAAGTCTAATTATAACATATTTCACATCTCAATAGTTTATTTATTTGTCTCAAACGTCACTGGCAGGGTCACGCATGACAAAAATGTTCTGCAAGGACTACCGAAAACTGACTGGGTTTGGGTGGTTTGAGTTTTGGTAACAAACACGCCTTGCTATAAACAAGCCCATGCATAAACACAAACACGAAAGAACACCAATGTGTTGCATATACGCGACACCCCAGTATTTTTTTCACATAAATCTAACATATTACTTCGATGACCGGTGTTCAACTGCCATGCATAGGACAGCTTATGACAACGCATCCACAGCCGACTGCAGACATGATCACAGCCCTCCCGGCGTTTAGTCATCAAGGGACAACCTTCACTATGGAGCCTTCATATTTGACCGACCTCTCGTCTCCTTGGTTGAGAACCCCGAGAAACACATCAACTGTTATATATCGATTTTACCTTCAAGTGTGCTGTTTGTTGCTGACCTTTTCAGCGTTTTGAGCTTGTGGACAATCAGTGATTAAAAAAGTATCTATTGTACAAAGATTTGTTGGCTGCAAGTCCACTCCACCACCTCCTCCTTTGTGGTGCATAAAACTACCTGCGCAGTAATTGTGAATAACAATACTTTGTCCACAACCAAATCATGCAGAATATTCCCAATCTCATTAGATCTCAGAAGCTAAGCAGGCTTGAGTCAAATGTTTGGATGGGTGATCACAATGCACAAACACGGTGTCATGGTGAGCACAACACGGCAATGACGCAACATCCATTCATATACTGTAGTATGTGCCAACACCTGCTCCACGCCCTTCATTAACTCGCACTGACCACCATCGCAAAATATGGTAAAATAACCGGCACAAATGGGCCTCATCCAGTAGTGGCTTAGCAAAAGGGACGTAATACTTTTCACCTTTCTTTGGGGCCGTCCAAGCATAACCCAACCATTGCGTCAGAACCTAGGCATGTCTGCCTCCCGACTACCAACTGCTTATGAAAAGGAGCGACAATTGCTGATTTGAACAGAAAGACAGTCTGGCCTTGGACCTTGGCTTATCCCACGTAGATACTGGCAGATACTGTACTCTTTACACACATTTTTTTTAGATTGAACTTTTCAATAACATTGAAACATAAACCACACAATTGTCCAACATATAAAATATGTACTCTATGGGCATCATGTTATACAAAAGCATCTGTAGTTTATTATATCACTGGGACACAAAGTTTCATGTATGTTTGTTAGGACTGCTCATTCAAGTTGGTTTCTCCCTGCATGGTTCAGCAAGTGACACACAAGAGTCAAATCACGTTTGACAAATACACTCCACATACTGATAGAACTTAAATGGTTTGGAGGCAATTTCATTCATTGCCCTCTAAGAAAAAACTTTGAAGCTGCCTGTTTTATTTGATATTTACAGTGACTAAAAAGCATTTTTCATATATTGTTCCAACAATGATCATGTTAGCATTAAAACAATTAACCTTAAAAGCTCATGCACACGTCGCTCCATCCTTGTAATATACACAGGGAGGTAAACTCACCGTTAAGTCTCTGTTATAGTGTATAGTTGCGGTAAACAAAAATATTTGGAGAAACTGCGTTTGGCAGTTGTACACAAGCACAAAAAACTAAAACTCAACAAATTCATCAATATAGCACTGCCTGAAAAGGAAATACAATAGGCGACGTCTTGGGGAAGGGCCCTTCTTCATAGCACGTTCAGGGCCACTGCCCCAAAACATTTGCCTGTTAAATATATTTTACATTATACATTTTTACAAATGTATTTCATATTTGAAGAGTTTTATTTATGAATGTGCCGAGGTGTATATTTTTTGCTACACATTCGTCAGTTCACACTACAAGTAGGTGACATCAACTGCTGACAACTACAACTGTGGTGTGGACTGCACGGCGTAATAATACAAATCACCTGGTTAAACAGTAACTGCGATATTTTACACGTACAGTACTGGAAAAGCGCAGATGATATACAGCCATTTATTACAGTTAATAAGTAATCTGCAACAGCAACGGGAAAAAGCAATTCACAGGAATGAAGCGAGGCTGGTAATTTAAATGCGATGTAGCACACCAGGAATTTCACTTGAAAAATGACCACTGAAACCAAATAAGCCGCTAATGTCAAGACCATTATTAAGTGTATCACTCTTTATATGCCAACATATCCCCATTAAATTCTCACATAAAGATGGCAACTTGATCCATAGACACGTAAAATGATAAAGCAATGCTCCAAGTTAGCTCGAAAATAATGAAATCAAACCCATCACGACTCGGCAAAAGATGTGGATGTGTGGGCACGACAGCTCTCAAAGATGAGCGCACTGGGGGCCGTAAGCCATCTGTTCACCAATGCCGCCAGGTTCGACGCAGTTGTGTGCACTCAATGTTTAATTAAAGAAGGATGAACACCTCAACTTAACTGCCGTAATGAGTTTGGGGAGTTATGCTATCGACTTGGGGACTCCTCCATAATTTACTTGTGACCCTGAAGAGTAAGAGTCTTTTTATTGCATGTTTCTATTTCCTTCTTTTTCCTCCTTTAACGTGCTTGCGGACACCGGAGGCATCCTCCGCATCATCCAAAACCTGTTCCCTCGGCCTCTTCTTTTTCCCATCGGTTTCCTTCATTTCCTGCAAAAAGAAACAAATGGTAAAGGTACAGTCCTGTAAATGCTTGCTCACTACAGAACTAAAGGCAGTTCCTGCAGAGGCCATCTAGAGGGTATGTGACTTATCCTTTGACCTATTTGACCTAGGCTTTCATGCTGGGCCAGATTTTTTTGAAAGAGGGGGGTGTGTACCCACACTTAAATCACCATCTTGTTAATCATCAACTAACTGTGGTGTAGTATGGACGGATACGTAGGATTAGAGAAACTTGCCCATTGTTTATACAGACACATCAGATCGAACTGGTGACCTGTGGAAATCAAGTCCAAAGTGCCGACTCTTACATAAGAGTAGCATACCTGAGAAAAAAAACCCAATATGTCTTTCAGTCCTAAACAAAACTTGACAAAACTGAAAATGTTTTAGGTTACAATAAGGCACGTGAACACAATGAACTGACAATAGCATTTTGATCAAATGCACTAAAGGCCGACTGCTGTTTGACATGTTGCACAATTGATGGAAAATAAATTACAGAGTGTATAAACCACATCTCTACAAATATCACAGAAAGCAAATGACCAGATCATTAACTGGGCCTATTTTAATGACATTTTAACAACGACAATCACCTGTATCATGTGTTCATTTAAGTATATGGCAGTGTTACAGGACACCGCAAGTCATAACGTTGGATAGATAGCTATGGTTACTATTCTTGGTATATAAATAACCATAATAACCATATTATAAACGTACTGGGTAGATTTAACACTGACCAAAACTGTCTAAACACAAACCATTTTGGATATCACTTAATGTAGGCCTTCAACACTTGTAAAAAAAATGCAACCATCTCTTCAACATTGAATTTGTCTTTTAACAATGAGCAGTTTTCAACAACACAATTGTAGAAACGCCAATATTTTTTTGCGATAAAAAAACAAACAAGGCAGTACACGACGTACCATACGAGCAAATCTCTGGGCTTCGGATACCCGCTCTGTCAGCATCATCACCTCCTCCTCGTTGGTGGGGAAGGCAGGAAGCTTCTTTCCAATGAGATGCTCGATACGCTGAAACAGCTCCACATCGTACCTTCACCAAACGACAAATGCATCACAAGAACAAGAAAAAAGTGTAATTAACAATGCAACAGAGCGTATTAATAAATGTATAACTAGCATAGGCCAAACCCATATTTGAAGCTTTTCGAATAAGTCACAACATGTTCAGGTTCCAAGTGCCATCTACTGTAGAAAGTTGTAACTGCCTCATTCTGTATAGAGGAAATTTTGGATGCTTTGAAGCAGCCATTGTGAATGTTTGATGGGGTAATTTAAGTTCATAATGACTAAATGCTCTATCCTTACATGTTGCACTCGTTAGTACTGATTTCACTTCCTTGTCTACACCCACACCAATTATTTGAGTAAAGTTATAATTATTCCTGCTCAGGCCTCTTGACAAATTATGTTTCAGGTGAACATTTAAAACCGTTAATTTAAACACCTCAACTACCAGCAACACAAAGGAGAGGCCATAAAAACTTTTTTAGCAACTAAAACTTTATAACTTATGAAATCTAACATTAATTTCTACCGCTCATATCAAACAATTACATACCAACAGGTGTGCAGTTATAGGCATTTAAAAGCCTCTTGGTACAAGTCTTACTATTTTATCTGCACAAGAAACCAGACAGGAGTGGCATTGGCACTCTGCCAAAATGCATTTGCACTGCAGCTGCGTCAAGGTTCACAAACACTTACTCTCAATTGTTGAACACTGAAAAAGGCTTTTGATTCTTGGGAGCAGCAACTTACTGTGACACGAATGTGATAGATTTTCCAGACCGGCCTGCCCTTGCAGTTCGACCCACCCTGTGAATGTAGTCCTGAAAGAAAAACACAGGTGTCCAATGCCACAGCTTAGGATATAATGTAAAAAAGACACCTCTGATTAGCATGGTTAGCTACGTGCGTGGTGGAATAAGTTCAACATACATACAATGTCTGATGGAATTGCCTTAGCTCCTTCAACTAATGTAACAGCACAATGGTTTATTTCCGAAATGCAAATACAACCACGTTATGCTATTTCTAATGAGCAGAATTCTTGTAACTTTATTGTGCACAACAGTGGGTTCTATATGTAGGTGTCAATGGAAAATATTTGTCATGTAAAATTATTTTTGTAGTACTCTACACTTTTAATGAAAAAAAGTATCGTACAAAGTCGCCAGAGGGAGACCAATCTATGGGAATTAAAATCAATGTTCAACGGCTACGTGTATTTAGTCTACTTTGGAAGTGCATGTTGAAAACACCCTTGCTATGACAGTAAAGAAAGACGAAGCCCAGGAAGAAATATTATCTAGTAGCGATGACATCTGCCAAAACACTCTATGGCCTTTTGTTGAAAACTGAGAAGAGACCAAGGCAAGTGGTGGAGTGTAACTGAATTTCCATGCAGGCTTAGGGCTTGGCGCTTGAAATGGCAAAGTGGTGAGCGGTGTGCGCAGGTGGGACCCCACCTTGGAGTGAGTGGGGATGTCAAAGTTGATGACCACGTCCACATGCGGGATGTCCAGCCCACGGCTCGCAACGTCCGTCGCTAACAGAATGGAGCGAGCCTTGCCCTTGAATTTGTTGAGGGAGCCCAAGCGCTTGTTCTAAACACATTTACATTCAATCATTCCTTTAGTTAAAGTCAAAACAGATACCTGGTTAGATTTGTTTTTTACAAGAAGCAAGTTAATGTGAAATGGTGAAGGTATAATGAATACAAATCAAACATTTGACATCTGCATTACTGTTCCACTACAAATGCATTGAACAATGTATATTATAATAAAATCAATGGTAAGACCAAATGTAAAGAGAACAATTTCCATTCATCACGAGCAATCCACCCATCTTGAAAAAAAGTTACTGAATGCCAGAGTTTAGGATATAATACTAAAAGCGACATCAATAAGTCTGATGGAAATGTCTGTCCCTCTGTCCTGCCTTCCTGACAGCCACCAAGCTACCCAGGCTTTTTTTCTAATATAGTATTATAGTATGGTAAGGTATCCCATGCATTTGTGTGGAATACACGGCTGAGGTCAAGGGTGAGCACGGGGGAAAGGCCGTGGGATGCGTTTGACGTGGTCACCGCTCATGCGATCTTCCCCACCCCACGTGCCAGCCAGGCCGGAAGCCAGCCAACCAGCAAATGCTTTTCTAATATCGCATATTACTGCAATGTTATACTTTGTATATTTACGTCTAGAAATATGTTCATCAAAATTACCTTATAATACATGCACTGGGAATTAGTTTTTAGCAGAGAGAATACTGCTTGGAAAAAAAATGAGGCTCTCTTGACAAAATACACAGTCGGCACTTGTATGGGCCTGTCACTACAGAATAATAGGTAGCCTGGGAAGTGGGACAAAGCTTGATATTTACTTTGAAAGTGCTGAAAAAACATCTTCATCAATCAAGGTACCAATAGCATTTCACCGAACAAACAATGACCTCAAATAGAAAACGTCTTGTGCGTGTGGGTTGGTACTTTGGATTGATTATACAAGGGCTGGCCCAACTTCCTGACCCTGCCAGCTGGATAACAAAATCTTCATATAAGACATGTGGGACGATCATATGGGGTGGTCACGTGGCCAGTTTGCTCATGCTGGTTGGCTACGAAGTTCAGAAATGGCCTGGGAGTGTTGTGTCTGGCTCGGCTGTTAGAAACGAGTGGCCCAGGCAGCTACCACAGATATTTCCTGTTTCAAGTAAAATAATATTGAAAAGTGAAACAACTATTTTGCCGCATGGTTCTGCATGTGGTATGGGAGTTGTGATTGGCCACCCCTGCATTATATTACAGATTTTCTTTCAGCAATGGTTTAAATGCAAACATTTCCATTTTTGACATTGGTAAGAGCCTGTTCAGGTGCACGTCAAAAATATCTACATTTATGAGTGAACAAGAAAACATCTTAAAGTGACTATGCACAAACAGAAAAATCCAGGAAAAAACTGCAAAGTCTTCCAGAAAAAAAACACCGTACACCAACGCTGTACAAAAATCCCAGTGGGATGCAAGTCAAACAACAACAACCACAAGACAACTTAGATTAAGGCCATCATTCCATACTACAACAAACAAACATGGCCAAACCAAAAAATGTGCCATATACTAAAACAAAATAACATCTTCCAGTGGTGATATACATTTGTCAAAATTGGTTAATGCGACGGCCAGGAAGTAACCCACTCAATCTAGGCAGTCTGCAATATGCGGCAGTCACGTCTGCCGTGGGAAGAGAGTAAAATCTCCTACCTGGCTCATCTGCCCGTGCAGTGGGATGGCTGTGAAGCCCAGGTTTCGCAGGAGCAGAGCTATGCGCTGAGTGTTGTTACACGTGCTGCAGAAGATGATGAACGAGTTTCCCGCCAGCTCATTGAGGATGTAGACCAGGTAAGAATCCTGCCAAGTAATATGAGGGTTACACAGCATTCATTAAAACACACAGCATTACCTTCATACAAATGTCACACTGGTTTCAGGTCAGCATCAATGCTCAGCATGATAAACACTAAACATGCATTTCTATTGCAGAAAGGGAATTTGATATTGCTCATTTAATTGCATCAGACATACCAATATGCATGTGTAACAGTTAATTCAAATTCAGCCTGACATTGTAGTGTTCAATAATTGAAAAGACGTCCTTCCAACATTGGAATATACAGTAAGCTTCCGGCTCACTGGACTAACAGAGAATAGAGGAGGGGGCAGGGGGAAATCTGATCTGGCTAAATGGATTTTCTGGATATGTGTTCACACATTAATATAAAAAGAAACATACCCGTGAGCCTACCTCACATTTAAATTAAAGATTTGTTTTTTTTCATAACATTTCAAATGAAATATTTTTATTTAAACTAGATAACTACAATACACACTATTGTATAATGTTGAGTTATGTACTCATCACTGATACAACGCAGCTGTGTTCATGCCCTTGGCAAAACCAATTAATCACTGAGGTTAGTGTCACTGTGTAACACTTAAAAGTAAAAAAAACTAAATTAAACACTAACGTTAAAGTTTACTACTTAAGATTACACAACTGTACATCACATTACACTGAATATAATTGGTCATTATTCTCATCATAAGACCTGTGTTGCGTGCATACCTGATAAAAGAATTGGCCTCATAGGCATTTGAAATTGCCTATATGCAGGGTAAATTTTTAGATTGCAGAATTTTATATTTTCCCAGACCCATATATTGGTCTAGTTAGCCAGTGGCTTACTGCAATGATTAAATAAATCTGATATGAACACCAAGTCTTGTTCCAACACAATTACACTATTTTCACATACTGGATGAAAACACCTTGGTGTACTCAAGATTGTGATGTTAAGCATGGTGTTTCACAAATGAGTGTTAAAAGTATCAAATAGGCTTAAAAACTTCCTGTTGACAGACGCTTTTTACACTTCCAAGCAAATGTCCACCCAACATGCGATAGCATAATAATGTTAGTCACTGTAAATATATGAAATACAGGAAAACCTTGCCCAACAAAGCTTTATCGATTGCGTTATTTTGGCTTTACACGGTTTACCTAATGGAGGTTTGTTTTCCAGAACACGGGGCGATGTTTTGGCTATGCATGGTTTGACGTTGCTAAGAATCTCATCCCCGCGTCAAAAAGTAGTGTCGTGAGAGAGCTAGCATCCATTGTACGGTGAGAATTAATTGACTGTGAGAAATATGTATTTAGCATGTTTTTGCGTGTTTTTTTCACGTGATAATGTAACACTCAACATACCCAACGGCGCAATGCAAATGTTCATACATTGCCGCATGCATCTAGCCGTCCAGTCGGAGGACATTAGTCATACGGATGCCTAGATTGCAAATGAATAATGTTCAAGTGACGGTCTCAGGAGCGAGTGTCAGGCTGGGAATTCAGTGTCGGGGGTGAGCGTTGGGCACGAGTGCTGCTGTGCGGGAACAGTAATGGAGACAGGGGATTAATGTTGAGGTGATCTTGAAAAAATTAACCCGTAAAAACCAAGTTTTTCACTATAAATCCTTTATATGCATGGCATCGGTTTCATTTAATTATTCATTTGTTTTTCTTGAGTAAGCAAGCAAGTGAAGTTAATATAAAGGATTTAAAAATGAAAGATCACCTCTTCACATGCCCCGTATATTCCCGAGGGCACTAGCGTTGACCCGTTTTACCACTTTCAAGAACCTGGCGGCTTCAATTTAACTGCTCTATAAATAGTCTCCATTGTACAGCGTGGGGGCAGGGATTTCATGCCATGTCAACATTTGCATGATCATGAAACGGGCGGCTAGAGTCCTCTCGTCCTCTGGCTTGAGATGGCTGCCACCTATGGGTCAGATGATTGTCTGCCACCATTAAGCAATTGGTAATTAATTATTTAACAAAAATTTCCCTAAACAGTGTAAAATTTAGGGAAAAATTTCACGAAAATTAATTGTTACGCACAACGAGTCTGTGTGCAAAATGTCAGCTCGATTGGATCACGGGAAGTGGGTTAAAAAACGACCGAAAGATTTGCACGGTCGTAAGCAAGCAAGCAAGCAAACTTAATATAAAGGATTTAAAAATAAAAAGCACACACAAGAAATGGAAAGCGACTCAACATCCTTTAGTACAATGACAAGGGTGGAAATCGTGTAGAATTAAGTAAACAAAGAGGAAGGGGGTGATGAATTTAGACCCAGGAACGCAACACCCTGTGTTTTTCATGAGGTCTATTATTTGTCGAATGCGATTTTTCCCAACACAGCATTTTCCAGGAGCGTAACCCCTGCATTCAGAGGTCTGCCTGCAATTGAAATGTACCTTAAATTTGGCTGGAATGAAGACATAGTATTGCTGCAACTTTTCTACAGTCTGGTATTTGGTAGAGACAGAACACTTCACTGGCTCTTTGAGTGCTGCCCGCTGCAACTTCTGAACCTAGAAACCAGGGACAAACACAAAAGTAATGACGGATTTCATATTGAAAAAAATATACGTTTATATATTTTTTGTTATAATCTGAAGGCATATGCTGCATGTACTGATAATTACTTACTTTTTTAGTCATTGTCGCTGAAAACAGGTATGTTTTTCTCTCCTTTGGAATCACCTTCAAAATTTTGTCTACCTATGGAATGAAAGATATAAGTGAATCATAAGTATTGACTGTGCACAGTTGTTCACCAAGGCGAAATACACCCAGGGGTAATATGTAAATGCAAAACACTACACAACAATTCAGATAATTATTAACATATCTATATTTATTTTGTGTCATGATATGAATGGCAATTACCAAACTATATCTGAAATCACTGTTTAGCTATTATTTCAAGACAGCGAGGAAGCTCACTTATTGTTTTTGTTTGCAGGCTTGGCACAGGTTCCCCCTGGCAGCCTCATCAGGCTAGCCAGGCAACAAAAGCAGGCTCTTCAAGTGAACCGCGTGGCTCTCTTTGAGAAGCAAGCTCCAAGCTTTCACCCAGGCCACCCTCGAAACCAATTGTGACCACAGTGCAGAAGCGAGACCGCGTGGCCCATTGCTTCCCTCTCTTAGTTCAAAATACATTTACTCGGAATAATCTAATTGTACCCACTCTAGCATGAAACATTGTTTAAAGCAAGTTTATTTTTAATGATTTCTCCTGGCCATGAAAGCTAGGGAGGGAGAAGAGACAAGTGGAATGAAGTTGGGAGTGGCTGAACCCACAAAAGCCATGTGGCTCATGAAGTGAGGGAATTAATGGTCCCAGGACTATACCTGGGCTGCTGAACCTCGTTGTCAGTTGTTCTAGAAACTTGATATGAAAGTAGAACCAAAAAAGCCAATGATTGATCTGTGGCTTCTGGCATAAAACAAAGAAGTAAAAATTGAGTAAAACAATAAACCAACCTCAGTCTCAAAATCCATATTAAGGATGCGATCAGCCTCATCCATCACCAAGTATTTAAGAGCACGGATGTTGAAGCCCTTGGTATTTTCCAGGTGGTCCACCAACCGCCCAGGAGTTGCTGGAAAGCACGAGTCAATCAGTCAATATTTAAATATTACTGGGACAAGTTGACTTATTTCGCATAATTTTTGTCAATTGGAGATTTGGTGTATTATCAGGTATACCAAATATTGACTTGCAGCTGTTTGACATACATTCAATTAAATGCCGCTTAGCACATCATGATAATTTTCATGTAAAAGCTCTTTACAAGGTATCAACAAGGAATTTTTCACATTTTTCACACTGAATAAAATACTTACCATGGCTTAAATGTAACACTCGGATAAGCAACAAATTAGAAGAAAAAATGTCCAAGTGGAAAACATATGGCAATTAAAATAACTAGTTGATAAAGCTTCATATGAACCATATAATATGTGAACAATGACGTTGCTTATTTTTTTATCAATACGACAAAGCTTTTAATAGCACAGTATTAAACACTTACCGATAATTACATGAGGTTTCTTGGCCAGGGCTAGGGACTGTGACATCATATCAATACCTCCAACCACCACAGCTGTGAAAAAAACATGCATTGGTGAGATACAGATATTATCATTTGGTGGAATATGCCACCAATTTAAGTTCGAGCAATTTTAGCTTGACTTAAAATAAACATTATTTAACTCATATATACACGTATAAACAACCACAGCATATTGGTGTTTGCCAACAGTTGATAAATATTAAGGTATTATTGATTTTTTGTTGATAAAGTTACCAACCTGATTTTATGCCGATGGAGGAGCCCAGGGCCTCAAACTGCTCAGAAATTTGGAAGGCAAGTTCTCGCGTGGGTGTGAGGACAAGCGCAAACAGCCTTTGTGGCGCGTCCAGCAAGGCCTGTAGAATAGGCAGCGCGAAGGCCCCCGTCTTCCCAGAGCCTGTCTCCGCGAGACCGATTATGTCTTTCCCTGAAATAAGTGACACAGTGCACACCGCTGCATCGATAATATGTTCAAAGATTCATGAGAGGTTGAAAACACAAAGGTCACTATGACATACCATACTTTTTTATATTTGCAGTGCAGAATAAACCAGTACATTATGAAACCCTCGCTTTTCGCAACTGACCAAACCACTTATCCGCTGCTCCACATTTAAAACACACTATTTAAGCAGGAATGTATTTGGACAATTATTTATCTGGTTGTAGAGCCAGCAAAGGAAACTATACATGCAGTTACGCTTTTTTTATTGCAGCATAAAAAAGTTGCCAACTAAAAGTGTCGAGTGCGTGTTATGCACCGTTTAATAACACAAAATGAATTCCCAAACTTCAAAACGAGCGAGATACCCTACCCTGGAGGGCCACGGGAATGGCTTCCACTTGAATCTTCGTGGGCTGCTTCCATCCTAACTGCTCGCACGCCTCACACAACACCTCCGTGACGCCCTAGGGAAACAACCCGACGGTTACATTAACTTTGCAGTATTTCTCACACTTTCATAATACAGTATTGTTGAGTTACATACATTTGATGTCATTATTATAAATATACGGCATTACAAAACCATTCAAGATTATACAAAATTAGACGATTTATTCCATTAGTTGTAGTGATGTTTGCTTAGAATTAACGTGTATGAGTTTAACACTGATATTTTATGGTGTCGGTGATGTGTACCTTATTGCAGTAAATGTTTTTATCTCAGTCACTCATCAACCCGCACTGACCAACGAGGTTAAGTAATGCATTAATCTTGTAGATTGCCAAAGATATGTATCGCTGTTTGTATTGTTTGTTGTTGTAACTTTCTGACCCGTCCCGAGTGGACGCCTGTGAAAAAGAGCTTTATAGCTCATCGGATTTCTCGGGTTTCTTCTTCAGCCGTCTGGAACGCTCTTCATTCCGAGAAATTGAAAACTAATTTGCTTAGAACTGCTTTGTGTTTAGTTTGTTGTCCTTCTCCAGCACCTCCGATTAGCACGGTTGCTCACGTAGCGTGCGAAATAAGTTGAACACATATACAAATAAAGATTCTGATGGAATAGCATCCACTTACTGTACTGTACAGTACTGCCATCTCGTGGCCACCTCGCAGCCTAGGCCTATGCCGCCAAGATGCGAAAGCAACGAACCTACACTCAACAATCGCGCAAACCACCAACAATAACGCCTTCTTAAACGTCCAGAACATCACTCAAACTCTGCCACGGGGACGGTGGCGACCAGCAGAGCGTTACAGAGCTATAAACGCAGCGGCCCGCAACGCGATCACCAACCATGCTGCGCGCACACCGCCGAGGCACGAGGCCCGAATGGGCGCCTTGAACAACAAAACCCCACAGCGACAAAGTGAGGATAAGAGGCCACTCACCAGCTCCTTGAAGGTCTTCGCCTGCTCGGCTACAGCCTCCTCCTCCACCTCCACCACCGCCTCCTCCTCCTCGCTCGCCACCGCCTCCACGCTCTCCTCAACGGGCGCCGCCATGCTTCTCGTGACGTCACCCGCTAGAGTGACATGACGTCATCGCACCCCTCACGTAAAATCCGAGGGGGGTGACGTCACCGCCACCCTGGGGCTTTGCTGAGAGGCGAGTTCATATCCCACGGAATCGATGCCGGGATTTTGAGTCGGTCGCAAAGGAATCGATAATTATTCGTCGATGTCGCGTGTTTTTTCATCGACACGCATCGGATTTGATTCAGGAGACTTAACCGCACGGGTTATTGACGTCACGCTCCGAGTGTTTTTTTATCTATAAACCTTCACATTTATTTAAAAATAACATCTTAAACCCACCGAGCTATATAGCTCTTCTTCAGAAGCTACACTGCCACAAATGACTGATCATGCAACCAAATACTCCTAAACTCACGATGTTTCTATTCCTGAACAGGGGAGAGAGACACCGACAAACTCCAAACATGTAGGTAAAAAATAAAAAAAAAAATTAACTATTATTTTAAAAAATAAATTAACTATTTTTTTTATTTCTTCCTACGTGACTTTACCGAAAAAAACCTAAGAGTATGAATCATTGCAGTCACGAAAGCTTCAAATCTAGAATTCGAACACGTAAAGCAGGCGTCAGGGTCGTGGTCGAACCCACGACCTCCTGCGTACCGGGCGAGGTGGTGAACATCTCCTCTCGCCACCGTGGAGGGTTGTTGGAGGTGGCTCTGGTGGAGCAGGACCAATACGCCAAGCGGCCAGCTACAAACAGCCCGATTGAACGTTTGAATGGCATGGGCTCAATACGTTTCTGTGAATTGGGCACGGTTAAGAGGAACTTGTGGGGGGGGGGGACGATGAGTGGAGGGAGTTCCAAAGTGGACACATGCGAGGGAAGAAGGGGCCGTCCATAAATGACGTCACAAACCTAGGGGGGGGGGGGGTCAAACATTTGTGACGAGGGGGGGGGGGTGAGAAATGTGACGTCACATCAAAATGCGCAACTTTAAATAAATATAGGCAACACTTTTACTTAATTAAATAGACTTTTTAATAAGTGTTTTCTCCTACAACATCAGAGTGCAGCGCCACATTAATTACGCATTATACAATGACAATAGTTTAAAGCGATTTGAAGCGTGTTTTATTTGGGGGGGGGGGCAGAGCTTTGTGACGTCATATTTGAGGGGGGGGGTATCTTTTTATAACGCCGTGTGACGAGGGAGGGGGGGGGTAAAAAAATCGTCCAAAATCGCGTGACGTCATTTATGGACGACCCCGAAGCAGAAAGTGAAGCGCAGTGCAGTGTATCGATTGAGTGTGTGGGTAAGTGGTTGAGTGACGTCACCTTGCAATGGAGTGAGCGAGTGAATGAGTTGGTGAGTTGCTTGTGACTTGCAGTGAGTGCGGTGGGAAAGTAGGTGGGCGAGTTGTGTGCGTTTGTTGTATCGTGGTTGTTGACCACGGTGTTGAGACGACACAGCATTGCAGACCGAGGCATCAATTGGGTTGGAGGAGTCAAGGAGCGAAATTCGTGGAAGCTGATCATGGTTGGTGATGGCCACCGAAATAGATTGGGACTCTCTCCAGACCTGCAAATTCCACAGGGTGGGTCCATGTAGCCTAGGTACTACTTCAGCCTGGTAGTGAAGATGGAAGATAAATAAACATGAATAAATATGAAAATAATACGGTTGACTCACGAAGATAATTTGGTTGTTTTTATTATTACACGCTTTTTATTAACTCTGTCTGTTGTATCCTCAAATATTGTAACTAAATTTTTACCCACTTCCCAATGTGGTATCGACAGCAAACTTGGTATACTTATGTCATACTGATGACAATACTATATTCTATCATTAAAATAAAGAATAAATATTTTTAAACATTATTTTCTATGTTATGCTTCGGCTTGGGTCTAATTGTCCACGCTCAACTGACGGCTGTAATTGACTTCGGCCCCTTACGTTATGGCAAGCTTCGGGACCACTTCCTTCCATTACTAGTACGGTACATTTCATTAAAGCGTGTTTAAAAAAATTGCTTTAAAATATTACTTATTTTCCGTTAATTTGCATATGAGCTATCTAATATGAGGCTGCCTCCAACTCGCACGGCTAAGAGCACAGTAATAATCAGGGCTTCAATCTTTGAAACGCACCTCAAACATCATTTGTCATAAAAACGATAACGGCAACCTTACAAATAATTCCCCAAAAATGTAACCACTTGAAAGACATGTGAGTCACTCAAAAATGCTCATAATCGGAAAGGCTCGCTTGATAACGTCAATGATTTAAAGTTTTGTGGCAGGAAAAAACCCGTCGAATACAGTATATGTGACATGAGTTTTTCTAGCTGGTAGTTTTTATTTTATTATTACATTGGAACAAAGAGAGCTTTGAACAACCCCCCAAAAATTTCAAATCTTAAAAGAAAAAGATAACATCGACAGATACGCTCTCCATTGTTTAACAAAACTCTCAGAGGATGCCAGTGCAAGATAATGTATTTAAACCCATGAGCAGGGAAAATATTAATATACCGCATGTGAAAAGCTGCAGTTAGCTCGTGCAGTAGTCCATTTCATTCTCGCCGCCGAGTCCAAATGGTAAATTGTTAAACATATTTTACAGTCATAATAATGTTGCTAAGTCTCATAACAATGTGAGTTGGGCCGTGAAGTGGGGTATTTAGCCAATTCCATTATGGGATTGTGTGTGTGTGTAATGAAATGCTGTATTCATACTTTACCGAGAAAAAACCCAATGGACACGAGAACACAGCACTCAACTGTGCACACAGGTTCACAACCCATTTGCTGTACTGTCACCTGGTCACATCAAGCAAGTTAGTGGGTTTCAGAGTTTCACAAATTTACATGGTCGACCGCAACCAACATTTTCCTTCAAATTGCTACAGACATGCAGTACCACATACATCGTGTTTGCATATTAGTTTTTGTTACTCTATTTAACGTTAACAAACCGTTAGTAAACGGACGTAATTATATCCAAGATTGACAAAGCCAATATATTTATTCATTAAATTGCATTTTAAAGGAAGGTCATGTTCTTATCTGATGAATGCTCCTCGAAAGTTTAATTACATTTAAAATGTGCCCTCCACGTTTTTAAAGGCCAGATTGAGCATTCCCAAATGCCAGTGCCACATGTTTAAATTTTACATAGAGGCTGTGTAAACACATCACTTTGAGATCATGAAATGTAAAGTTGCATACTGTAATACCTCGATATACGAAGTAGATGCGTTCCTGGAGCTTCGTTCGTATATTGGAATTTCGTTTCTTGAATAACTTATAACAGTACTATGAGGATGCATTCAAGCTTTCGTAACTTACCATGTCATACTATAAACACTGTATAACTTACCATTCATATTGTAAACAAAGACATTCTATATTGAAAATGATATTTTATACTGCCCAGTATTAAAATTGATAAATAAAATAACCTCGTGAAAAAACATGATTGCATTATTTATTTCAGTGGATTTATTTGTTATTTTCCTTTATTTTTTAATCATTTATATTAAGTTCGCTTGCTTGCTTGCGTGCTTGCGTGCTTGCTTGCTTGCTTACGACCGTGCAAATCTTTCGGTCGTTTTTTAACCCACTTCCCGTGATCCAATCGAGCTGACATTTTCCACACAGACTCGTTGTGCGTGACAATTAATTTTGTGGATTTTTTTTCTCCAAAATTTTACACTGTTTAGGGAAAAATAAATAAATATTTAATTACCAATTGCTTAATGCTGGCAGACAATCATCTGACCCATAGGTGGCAGCCATCTCAAGCCAGAGGACGAGAGGACTCTAGCCGCCACGCATATAAAGGATTTAGAGTGAAAAACTTTGTTTTTACGGGTTAATTTTTTAGCTGTATAAAATAATGGGAAAGAAATAAAATTTGTATTATACCGAAACTTAATTGATCGAATATATGCATTTCGAAAAAAACCCATCAGCATTTGCATAGTGGTATTTGACATCCTCTGATTAAAAAATACCCTCTTTTGTGATTTATGATCAGATAAATATTTTCTTTGGAATTTAAGACCTTTACATATGTAAAGAAGCGTACTCTTTCAAATTATATTACAAATGCTTTAATCTCCATGTATACATTGACATGCTTTGGAATTGTCCTACATCATTATCCATTAGTGTCCATCACAGAAAACTGTCACATATATCAACAGCTTGGGGAAGTCTCCATCCAGCAGGGGACTGATGATGACATCACTTCCAAGTGACTAGGAATCAATGCTGAGCCAGTTCAAAGTGGCTCAGTGACAAAAGCATCAATCGCGAGGTTATTCAAACATGTAAACCCATAACGCACTGGTGGCAGTTACAAATAAGTCTAATATGTTCCATGGATTCGTTGCACTTTCCGATAATGTAATGTAGAACGAGACTCATTCCCTTCGAAGCGCAGTAGAAGAGATGATTTTTGAGAGGCGGTCAAGACTTGTGGTGTCGGGATATCTTGGGCCAGACACTGAGCTGTGAACGTCAATCTATAGTTGACCTCTTGTCAATCCACTGACCTTTTTGTCAACCCACTGCTGGTTGACAACATGCCCACACCGTGCGTGGTGTGTGAAGGGGGTTATTTTATTTCACTATATACTTCAGACTGGTTAAAGCGGGTTGGCATAAGCATTTGTATTTTATCCCGCACCTCCGATTAGCACGGTTGGTTACGTATGGTAGCCAACGCTATGCGCTTTCTGGGAAATATGGAGTTATAAATTAATTAATAAAGACACGTGCTTAAGCCCTGGGTCTGCACTGGGGGTGTGAATGGGAAGTCGTGTTTGTTCACGGGCTTCCCTTCTTCACACGTGTGCAGGGGATTAGCTCGGCTGTCAGGAAAACGAAAAAGTGCGTGCGGCTGAGTGTTGCACAAGTGTTCCATCTCTGGGCTGCTAATTTGGATGTCCCATCTCCTTATGAGCTTTAAAGATTTTTCTCACATTATGATGCTTCACGGATTCAACAAAATTCATCAAACT